GCCCATGAAATATAAATTGTTGTAGTCAAAAAAGTGAATTTAAAGTGATTCAAAATATAAAATTTTCGCAAAATCGCGAAATTTAAGAGCCTGTTTACATGGAGGTGGGGGACCCCAGGTAGGTGAGGTATCCCGCTTAGGTGGGATAACCCACCTGTCCGTATAATCTCTCATTTTAATTTGATCTCGTTTACGAGACAAGACAAGACAAGACAATGCTTTATTTGGAGTCTTATACAGTCCTATGTACAAGGACTTTATCCAAATAATTTAAAATCATAACCCAAATTGCACACTAGTGGAACTATAATCAAAGTTAACCTAAACAACTAATGATCTTCTTTTCTCATAGCAGTCGAATACGTATTTTGCAATTACCTTTTGCACTGGTTTATTCTTGCTCAGAGGATTTATTAACAACAGAAAAACGTCACCTGGTGCCATTCTGTTTACTGATATTTTGTATTCTTTGCGTGAGTATTCAAATAAAGTACTTCTTTTTTCTTGATACGCAGGGCACAGAGTTAAAACATGTATTTCATCTTCTACGTCTTTTTTACAGATAGGACAGATCCTCTCTTCCGGTTTCTTATAAGGTCTTACATACCGACCTGTCTCTATCGCCAATTTGTGATTACTTAGACGGAGTTTAGTTAGAGTTATCCGGTGTCGGATGTTGGTGACCTGACATAGATAATGATGGGTGCGGTGACCGCCAAGGCGGGTAGCCCGGTCTGCCAGACCGGGTAACCCTCTCAGCTGGGGTCGAATTTTGCCACGTAAACGTTTCAAGGTGGAGTAACTCGTCTAGCCGGGGTCGGATTCGTGATACATCAAATTCGCCCAAAATTCACTTTGGCGGTTGCTTTGCATGATTATTATAAGGTAACAATGGAAAGCCACAGCACTGAAGGTTGCAACAAGAGCAGCAAGTGAGTGTAGAAGAGCATTAATCGCCAAAACACGTGGTTTTCCATCATTTTTCTTGTTTACGTGCTTAGCGACCATTCAACAATCTTGAAAAAGCGTACCCCGGAATGGCGGGGTTATAAGATTGCATGTAAAGGAGGGTATTTTTTTACCCCACCTAAGCGGGTTACCTAACCTACCTGGGGTCCCCCACCTCCATGTAAACAGGCCCTAAGTGTCGCGAAATATGCGCACATGAAAATCGCGAAAATTTCATGTAATAAGGTATGCTTATCATGCTTATGCTTATGTCACGAAAGTGTTCACTAGCCCATAAAATTCTTATGCTCGCTTAACCTGCGTACCAGGCGTCGAAAGGGCAAGGGGATTAGGAGGAAGGGAAAAGGTGAGGGGGCTATCGCACTTTTCTCCTTCTCTCCCTCCCCCTCAGTCCCCCTCCCCTTTTTGCACCTGCCCCGCTGGATATGCAAATATCCTTCCCTCCCCGCTCTCTCTATCCCCCACCTCCTCGCTGTTTTTCGTTCTAACTTTTCTTTTCATAGAGGAGTTCAATACCATCTTTACTTTCTGAACTCTCTTACTACAGACCTTTAGATTCGAGGACGAGAACGAGATTTCACTTGAAGTTTTTTTGGCGTATTCTTAAAAAAAGACATCCCGAAAAGCTTCGTCGTACTTTTTTTTTACTAGAAAAGTTAACACTGTTATCTTTTTGAAGCAGGTTAAACCACGTATCGATCGCAAAATAACAAAACTTCTAACATTTCATAACGTAACTTGTTTTCGCCACTACAAAATTCTTGCTAAAACTCGTACTAGAATGACGACGACTATCACGTTTTCCCTCCAAAATGACGCTGAGCACTACTTAATATTGAGAAAATTTCGTACTCGTAGGTCCTCGTCTTAGAATCCAAGGCTCTTTACTATCTGAACGCCTGCAACAGACTATTCTTGCGCCAAAAGACTCTTCCGTGGCCGCAACAAAAAATGACAGCAAAATTATGACTGTCCTAAAGGGTTTAGTTTTATCGTTTGTCTCACGATTGTCACTTTGATGTTGATCGCGACATTTCGACCGCACACTGCAGGTCTTCATCAGGATATATTGTCGATTTACTGAGTCGAACTATTGGTACCACCGTGGTTGTTAGTGATTGGTGTATCACAAACCTCGCTCATGGTTGGTGGGTTTCGATCCAAAGCATTGTTGGCATTGTGAGAGGAAGAGGCTGATCCCTTGGCGTTTCAGCGTGGTAGAGGTCAGTTGTCATGTTGTCTGATTGTAGACATCCAAGCTTCAGGAATCTGAATTCCACTGTACGTTCCTGTTGATGTTGTTAGGGTGAAGTCTCATGTGGATAGACTCCATATACGAGAGTACCATGCAGTGAGGGTCTCGGTCAATAAACTTAACTTTGTCCCAGAGCGGACAATGCCCGGTCTTATTGACCAGTGGGGTCAGTGGGGTCTTTGTTAAGAAGTCGATATGGACCGCTCTTGATAAGAGTTTTCATCCTCTGGCGATAGGTCTCAGTATCTTATAAAACTACGCTGGCGTGACCTTTGTCAGCCGGGAGAACCATGAGCGTCATCCTCCTTCAAGCCTTTGAGGGTTTGTTTCATGCCTTTAGTGATGTTAGGCTTAGGTGGCTGTGCCTTTTGGAGAAGATTATTTGCAGTTCTCCTGACTGAAGAGGTTTGTTCTGTGTCAAGTGGTCTTATAACAGACTCGACTTTGGCAACTATCTCAATTCACACAGGTCCAACCCCTCCCCTCGCCCCACAAACAATGTTTGACGCGTGTATCCAGAATTTTTTCCGAGTTTCAACTTTATATAGGGTGGAGGGAGGGAAAACTGCAAGAATATTTCGAAAAGGATGCCCTGTTTTATGAGGGAACCGAGAAGTGACAGAAAAAATATGACTATTGGATTACTGTTCCAAGGACTTTTATCCATGATTGTAGTTATAGTAACATTGATCTCATAATAATAGTAATACGTCGAAAGCGGGTTGCATAAATAAACAGAAAGAGTGAAAGAGTATGTTTTTTTACCCAATAATCTCTAGACTGACTTGTTTTTGTAACAAAAATTAACCTTCAAAAAAAAACATTATTTGAAATCCTCCTGACAATCTCAAACTTCATTTATGATAATATTCCATTTAACAACTGAAGGCCGTGCAAGAACGATTTATGGATAGGTACCATTGGTACGATTGGAAAAAAAAGAAAGTGAGTCTATTGGTCAGTGTCGAGTGCATTCTAAAGTTCTGTTTTTCACATTCAAGGCAATTCATGGCATCGTTCTCGTGTACATTGGGGAGCTGGTCTCCCTTAAAGAACGAGGTGTTTATACAATCTTAGATCTGCTAGTGGAACACTGTTGACCGCGCCCTCTGGTAAGACTAGGGTAACTCCTGGCTTGAGCTTTGGCTAGATACCAGGGATTAAGCCCGTGACCACCCGCTATGCAGGCTAGCCATCTCTTCACTGAGCTAACCATACCGCAGCCGTTTACTTCGTTTAGGTACATGAATCAAGATATTCAGTTGCAAGACGCTTTGAATTACTCACGTACTCTCTTTATCTACTGAGCGACAAAATTAGTCGAACTAGAATTTTATTTTCATTTTTAACAAGCAGTGTACCAATTAATGACGTCATAAAACCCTTGATAAAACCTATAGTATAAATGTCTTTGCGACTTCTTATATGTAGGACCTAACTACAGTTATCATAGAGCTTCGCTGATCTGTACAGGCAAGATCATGTTCTGCAAGAAAAAAAACAACAACATTAGATTACGCTCAGCTGTATTATTCAGTCAAACTACTTAGTCATTCAACCGCTGTATAATTTTCTAAGAACTAATGAACCGAGATTAATATAATCACTCAGGCCATGATCAATATCATTATCGTAAATCGTTATCATCAAATTCATTAAATATATAGCCGTTAGAAAAATTGATGATAACAAAGATGATGTCGGTCTCTATTTATATCTCTTATTTTAAACTTAGCACAACAAGGTTAAATATCCCCACTTGGAGAAGGTGATAAAGCCTGGCCGAGGTGTACAACTCGGATCGGTGACGAGGAGCAACTCCTAGCCTACGTAAGGGCTTCTTCTTGTAACAACAACAACAACATAAGCTTTATTTGCATGACTATAATTATGTAGTTACAGTATATTGCAAAAGCTTTAACATAAAGTTACAATTTATAACAATGATAATGCAATGCAATGATTACTACAGTCAATCAAGTGTTATCAGCATGATTTGATAACAAATTAGCGCGTAAAATCATTATATAATGAGACCAATCTCAACAAATGTGAATTTACGGAAAAATTCTGTGAATTCATAAATTTAATTATTAATTCTGTGTAAGATAGCTGATTAAAGTCGTAAAAATTTTGTTGGATTTGATTGTAGAATTTCTCCCTTGGGATTGAATATTTTGGACAATGGAAGAGAAAATGAAATTCGTCTTCAATTATACCAGAGTTACAAATAGGGCAGAATCTATCGTTGCGGGAATTTTGATTATATCTTCCAGTTTCTATCATGAGTTTGTGGTTCCTTATACGAATGTTCACTAAGTCTTTCCTATTGGTTGAATTTCTAATTAAGTCTAGATAACTTGAAATTTTATAATAATAATTAAATAAGCTGTAAAATTAAGTTATATAACAATTATGCGGCCCGATAGGTATGATGGGTGGTCCTCTTTCGGTTCCAAATTGGATATGGATCTTATCTTCTTGGGTGTGAAATAGGATAAGTATTTGTCCTTTTTGGAAGCAGGGGCTGGAATTTAGGATATTTTTTGGTCTGAAATAGTAGGGTGGGGGAAGTCACATTTTTTATTTTTTATTTTTGTCAAGTAAGTTGACGATTCCAGGAAGCACACCTCGCGTCCCCACCCGAATTTTTCACGAATATCCCCTTCACCGGATTTCCACGAGTCTGGCGCGCTGACTACACGCTGCTTTCCATATGATTGTTTTCCCACCTTTGTTTAGCGATCATGGATTGATGTATCACTTGCATGGTCCT